TGATGTTTTATCCCTATAAAATATATAGTTTATGTGGAATTCATGAATTTCGAGGATGAAATTATTTAAGTAAAGGAAATTATAATAACTAGTTTTGAGAAATCAGATATAAATTTTGATGACTTGAAAAAGTATCCAAAATTTCACATCTCCAAGTTTAAGGCCGAAGCAATTTTTGTAAAATTCTAAGCATCAAATCAATCAATTCATATAGAATATTATACATAAATTATGAATGGATTTAAAGATATGAAAATTTAGAAGGTAGAAGTTTAATTAAATTTAATTAATCTCTCCTTAGTTATGACAATGTCAGTTTGTTACCGAAGATTAAACATTTTGTGTGACAACCTAGGTGAGTAATTATATTTTTAAATTTCAGTAATAAATTTTATTTCAAAATGTATGTTTGATTCTATGTATGTTCTAGTTTAGTTAAATCCTTCATATTGTTAGATAAGATAAATATGCATGAAATATATGTACGAGATGCATGATATGTATGATACACATGATATGCAAGATTGACATAAATAGTGAATATATACATGATGAGCACGATAGAAAAATATGTGTGATATTAGAGATATGCATAGAGATACGAGATATGAATGTATGTAAAGATATACATGATATGTATGATGAATACTTTGCACAACAGAGTATTCATGTTAGTAGATGAATGAAAATGTCTTAGAATAATGTATGTTTTGAAGAATGAAATAGTTTATATATGAATGATTGTATGTGTAGGTTCAGAGGAGGAGTTCACTCTCTAATGGTATCGGCAAGGAACGTCAGTGTATCCGCGTCCGCGAGTGTAGAGATTTTTCTATCTTCCAAACAATTGTGAGGGTTAGTTCACTAACACTTGTGCCGATGAGATAATATTAGTCAGGGGCAAGTATATCAGAGCTTACGTCTCCAAACAATTATAATGTTTACATTGTTAACCATTGTGCCGACGGGATAATATCTATTATGGGTCAATGCGAGATGATGAGACAATATGAGACAAGTGTGTGAGGTTCTGTTGATGGGGTGATCCTCACAGAGATAGATGCGTATGTAAATAATATAAAGTTAAAATAAATGCATATAGAAGAATTGAATATTTTCATTTAGAAAATGTCATTGATACATGCATTAACATATTATCAGATTTTTTATAAAATATGAAAGATTGTATATTATAAGTTTTCTTATAGAGATACAAAAGACCTATCATGCATATTGAATTATTTTCCTTAGGTTACTATAGTTCAGAAGTGTGATTACTTCTGAGTTATTTTTAGATAACTCATTATGTTGATTTAATATTTTTTTTAGGTTTTAAGTATTTGAACAAGATGAATAGAAGAGAATCAATTGTGTATAGGAGGTGAGAACAACAACCAGAAAGATACAAATTCTACATGTTAATTTTAATTGCTTTTTTTAGTAGCTCTTTCGTAAGTTTTTGAATATTAAATTATTAGTAATAGAAATAGAGTAACAGAGAATTTATTTCCACCATACAACCAATCATTTTCTTCTTGGTTAATTTTAAGTCTCGGGTCGGGTTGTGACAACGCTCTTTGAGGCGCATCTTAAGTAATGTGAGGCGTATGTACGACTTGACACATTTTTCCTTCGAATTGCGTTAAAGTGGGTCTTGAGACGCGCCTCAAATTGCACAATTTTAAATACTGGCCATCACATTCTAATTTCAGTATAAGAGAGAGAACTACTCAATACAAAACACTCTCATCGTTTCAATCACCGCGAAAAAATCTATTGATTTAGGTTGAATTTTTCATTCTTGTCGAATCTTGTAACTCTTTAGATTGGTAATATTGAAAAAGATATGATTGTCATCCTCAAACTCTATTTTTTATTCAGGGTCAAAATATCTTCTCTAATGCTTCTGCACTAAGTGAATCCATTTTTGAATCCAATGAATCTTCTAAATAGTCTCAACCATAAAAACACAGATCTACCTCTAAGCCTTGCTACTATTTCCGTAGCTACTATGAAACCCAATAACATGAAGGCCCATTGTGACCCATATCATAAGAAGATATATTGACCAAGTTTGTAACATGATTTAAAGATTGAAAAATCACATAAAGACCCAGATACTTGAAAAATAAACGTGAACACCTCACCATATATAATAACACTCATGTTGACTCTAATAGGGACTGCATAGTAGGCCATATATTCATAAATTTAAAATCATGAAATACTGAACTAACGTCAAAATGCATTATCATTAGCCACTCTCATGCTCTCAACTTTGACTAGATTCTTAGAACTGACTATAAAGGGATTAATTATTAAAAGATGATGATGAATATATATATATATATATATATA